TTGCTTTCACTTGAATTAAATATTTTTGTTTAGTGGAAAAATTCATTATTTTGTCAACAAAATAATCACACTATGAAGATGTGACCCCCCTCAGCTTTTACATGCTAGAGGACCCAGTGAAATTCACCTCCGGCTGATCATTCCAGCCTGTGTTATCCCAGAATGAAGTCAGAGCATAGCTGTAACTGGTTGGTTCTACTTTTGAACATATTTGACACTTCATGGGTCCCTTCAAGCAGGAAATGGCAAGTTATTTTCTCTCTGCTGTCCTGTGCAGGTTTCTCCTGCTGTACTCCAGTGGGGAAATGATCATATTTAGTATATTTAGTCTTTGATAGTTTCACCAAAAATTTGATATGGACTGACTGCCAGTCCAAAAGTCTAACTGCTATCTGGACACGACACAAATGACTCTCTGTCTAGTGTAAGGGTTTTGGACATTGGACTTCTCTCTGAATAGCACTGAAGCAAGCATCTCGTGTTGCCATTTGTCTTACCTATTGCAGTGTTTTCCTGATGGGAAGTTGCTCGTCATATTTTTAAATAACTGAATTCCCTTGTAGAAGACCTCCTCTTCCTTTTTATACACCTAAGAGGTGAGACATTCCGTTTACTGAGGTCTTATGAAGCATATCTCCTATCAGACTCTGTTATTTTGGCCCCCTTAAGCTGGATCTCCTAGGACTCTGTCAGTTACCAAAGAGTTTTAGTTCCAACCCCCCTGGTTTGGTGTCTATTGGAAAAACATTTCCTAGTTTCTCCTCTTTTACCTCTATCTTCCATACGAAATGCAAAAGACCAGTTTTTTTTAGCCATGTAGCATTTGTTGTATTTGTTTAAACTGTCTTCGTTCAATTACCTTAAACAAGTTCAGTTGTTCGTCAGTCTTTTACTTGCTGCCAGAGATAGATGGAGACATTTTAATATCTCGCCTTTGCCTGGTTCGGGTGGGTTGTCCCATGGCAAACAGGTGAAGCATGTCGCTCATGGCAATTCTATTCCACAATAGCATTTGGTACCATCATGATGTCTGGTGATGTTCAGTATGGCCTAAAAATTACTATATTTGTGTCTAATATGTAAATCAAGGGCTTGTTTTTAAAGGCTTCATATACTTGTTAAGTATTTTCTTCTCATATTGCTCACTTATGCTTGCCAAGACAAGGAAGTGTTTTTTTTTTTTAAACTTACACTTAAATCATTAAAAATTAAACTACTTCAATTTATAAAGAGTTTAAGTAGAAACGAAAGGGAATCATAGAGTTAGAAAACTAAGCTTTTAATGAATTATGATAAACATTCATCAGATGGAGATCTTTGCCTGTTTAGGTGCCTTTCACAAATTGTTGTTATACATTTTTGGAGACATGGGAGGCAAACTGTTCTCCGCAGTGTCTTTTGTCCCGCTCCAGCTGCCTTCAGCTGTGTTCATCCCACTCCCCTGCCCACTGCAGTAATTTATTTCAAGTCTTTCAGGTTACCTTTAGTCTTGTTTTAAACTGTAATTCCTGGCAAGGAGCTTTAGAACTGAGGAGCACAATGGGATGAATTTTTTTTAGTAAATGTAAAAGCATCATTCTCTTAAAGTTCTAGAATCTTCCAAGGGGCTAATTCTGGATAGTTCTGGATCTGGCCCTTTCAGCATGTGGTCTGCAGAGAACTTCTCCAAGTGTTTCTGCTTTCAAATGTTTATTGCAGCTCTTCTGGCTTTAGAATTAGGAGTGCAGGGGTTAAAGAGGTCTCTCCCTCTGCTCTGTCAAAGAAAATCGTTGTACTCTGCTGTTTTCACTTAATGGATTTTGAAAGACCATAATTCTGATGTGTCTTTCGGCTTCCTAATTGTGGCTGAATTTGGGTGGAGCATTAATAGAGTTCACTGTGACTGAATGTTGAGATGTGGCCTTGTGTTTTGTTTTCAGGAGAAAGATTTACCCATTTTGCTCATATCCTACTTGAGGTCATGTGTCACAGAGCCAAGATGGTCTTATTTTATTAGCTATTGAGTGGAATTCACAGCATAGTGGGAAATGTTTGCAGATAATCCTGTGCCACAGTAGAAACCTCAGTTGCTTCCTCGTATTTCTTCAGGGCAGTGATCTCAGCCAGATGCAGCGTCTGCACAAGGCAGCGGATGCCATGGTAGCGCCGTCGCCGATCCCTCTTACCATGCTGGAGCCATTGTCAGTGTCAGAGGCCACTTCCAGCTAGTTGCCTTGAACTCAAATAGCTTTTCACAGCCTTCAGGATGTGAGCCAAGGTATGGCCTTTTTTCATGAGCTGGGCCTGCACATGGGTTAACAGTAACCTGCAGCTTTTATGGAAGGAGCCTGCTGGCTGTAGTGCCAGACAGTGACTGCTCGCAGCCATTGGTAGGCAGGGAGTGTGTGTTCTTCCCATATTTGAAGAACTCTCGCCTTTTAGAAATGATTCCTTTTTTCCTGTGTGTTTTTGTCAAAGAGACTATCTCATTAAAAGGTCTAATTTACATCTGTTTTCTGATTCGACTATTGTCTTCATTATGAGGTATATATGATCATTTCCTTCACATATTTGGTGTAAAAAAGAATTTTTAAAAATTCTGTGAATTCTTGCACCATTTTTTTCTTGTTTAATTGTGGGCCAAAAAAATTTACCATCTTAATTGTTTGCACTATTTTAATAATCTCTTACTAATCTTCTTTTAAAAACTGGAAGTAAGAAATTGATATTCATGAATAGGGCTTGAAATGTAGAATCGATCAGTACAATAAAGCCCCGAAGTGGATTAATGCAATTCACTCTCCATGCCAGAAGTTCTTGTTTCTTCAAGTGAAATCTTTGTTAAGGGTACAATGAATCAACAGATTGATGATAGACTTAGGACATCATCTGTATTTTATTATGGCAGTAGCCATAACTGTTTATTCAGACAACTTACTATTGTTTTCGTATTGTACTTCAGTAGCCCTGTTACTAAAGAACCCTTTCAAGCCCCAGTAAAGGAGCATCATTTACAACTGGGGGGTGGGGGAGGTGACTTTGTAAATTCACAGAGTCCTATTAAGCACTTTTCGCCCTTTTCTTGATTAGCTGTGTTCGACACTGATTAGCGGTAGCTACTGATAAATGCAGGTGTTGAGAATCTTTTCAAGCTCCTCCACCACAATCATATCTTTAATAAGAAATGGACAGACTCACTATTAAACTGTAGTCTCACATTTATTTCTTAGCATAAAAGACAAAATGTCTTAGTTGACTCTAACAGCAAAATTAACTGATACTTCAGTCTTAAAACAGTCACTATACTCTCGCTATGTGTACATGCAAACACATTTTCATAGGCATTTAAGTTGATGACTGAAATGGTATACAGTAAAACGTCTGCCAAGAGGTTCCTTGAGTGGCACAGGAAAGTGACCACATGTTTTCTGTGACTTATAGATCAGGGAAGATAAGAGAACTTAGGAAAAAAGGCAGTCATCCAGGAACGTCCTATGTCTCGTTGGTTCAGTCATCTTGCCAGGTGGGATAGTTTTTACCTCATAGTTACAAGTGTCTGCAGATACTAGTTTTGACATGCTTTCAGGACCACATACAAAACACACACCTGATAGATACACTGTCTCGGTTTACCCAATGGCCTCTTGGTTTACTCCTTATTATCTACCTGGAGATAAACACTGAATTGCCTCTGGGCAGATTTTTGTTTTTGTGATAAGGAAAGGTTCATTTATATGTAAGTGATATAGTATTTGACTCCATGTCCACTTTGTGAAATATTATTATTTTTTGAGTTGAAGTCTCACTTAGTCGCCCAGACCTGCTGGGCTCCGGCGAACCTTCCGCCTCAGCCTTCCAAGTAGCTGGAACTACAGGCGTGCGCTACCACACTCGGCTAATTTTTTGATTTATTGTAGAGATGAGGTCAAGCCAAGTTGCCCAGGTGGGTCTCAAACCCGCGGGCTCAGGCAGTTCACTCACTTCGACCTCCCAAAGCACGGAATTACAGGCTGAGCCACCGAGCCCGGCCGTCAAATATTATTTTAATATAATGGCCAAGTCCTTTTGGTGGTAGGTATACAACTAAAAAAAAGTGATGTGTACTTTAAATCATACCTTAGCATAAATATTTTAAACTATTTGTGTACAATTTCAGTTTGTTTTTAAATTATCTATTTAAAGAATTATCAAATGTTAATTTTTAAAAATCTAAGTAGTAGTGTAAAGGTATTTATTACATAAATAACATGTTGAGAATTGGACTAGAAGAAAAGGAAATAATGCTTAGTTGTGATTTTCAGTGTGTGTTGTATTAAACTACTACTATATTCATCTAGAAAATGTAAATAGATGTTTTAATGCTGATACACTGATAATTTGCTGTAATACATCCTATCATAATATTAATTTGATATGAGGTTGGGTATATTATAAATCCTGATAGGAATTAACAGAATAATAGCTTTAAAATGATTATGCCCTAAAACTTAGCTTAATTAAAAGGTTCAGTGTAAAGAAGCTTTATATTAAGATATTCAGTAGCGAACCTACATTTTACCCTGAAATGTTTATTTTTTTTCTTGGAAATGTATTAACTCTAAGTGAAATACAAATCATGTTAAAATTAAAAAACTGTATGTAGTTCTTTGATTCCCAAATCTTGGAAGACAGAAGCTAGGCACCTGTCACTTTAAGTATAGAAGTTACTCAGTTTGTTTTTTAAAGTGTGGCTCTAAAAATATATCATATATCAGGATCTTTTCTAGTTTAACATTTGTACAGTGTGTATCGCTTGTCTGTTTTTAACATTCAAATGGAAAACCTTTATTATCCTAGGCATTATTAGCCTGTGCCTTCAAAAGCAACTTCAACCACCGCCTTTGCAGATCCCGTGTATGACCAATGAAGTGCATACCATTGCTTTTATTTTTAACAATGATTCTCAACTTGTGGGTGTTTGTTTTCCAGCCCTAGTCTTAATTTTCTTTGCATTTCTGTTTATGTTTAAAAAAAAAATTCAGATCTAAAAGGGAGAATGTTAAAGCAGGAGTAAAACCAGATGCGTCTGACCAAGAGCCGGAAGGACTTACTCTTTTGGTGCCAGACATCCAGCAGACTGCCGAGATAGTCTATGCAGCCACCACCAGCTTGCGGCAGGCCAACCAAGGTAGATGCTGCTCCGCTCATGCTGCTTTGCTTTGATCCAAAGATGTTCCTTCTGCCTACTGAAAACTGTCTTTCGTTTTCTCTTTGTGTTGATGGTTTTCTTGCAAGCTTCTTTACCTCCACATTTTGTTCTCTGTCAAGTTTCGGTCAGTCTCTAGTTTTAGAGTATTGAATTCCACTGTGAATGGTCGCTAAGACCAAATTTAGGAGGCTGAAAACATGTGTCCTCAATTGTTCTTCCTCCTGAAGGTCATGAAAGTGAAACTTGCCTTTGTGGAAAATGGTACAATAAGACTATGTGTGAGAACTGAGTAAAATTGATGTTTTTAGGTATTAGCAACAGAAGATGATGATCATGCATTACCTATTGTTTCATTTCTGCTGTTTTTAAAGTTGATTAGGTTGTTTCCATATTGTTATATTTATGAAAGTCTTTTATTCTCAAAATGGTGAGATGGGGAGATAATTGTGAAGAGTTTGATTTTTTTGGAATTCAAAATTTGAACTCTGGTAGTAAATTATTTTTAGTTTTAATCTCCTAAAATGTATACTTACATTATTTGTCTTGAAATATTAACTAACAGAAAAAAAACTCGGTGAATACTCAAAGAAGGTGGCTATGAAACCCAAACCTTTGTCAGTATTAAAATCACTTGAAGAAAAATATGTGGCTGTCATGAAGAAATTACAGTTTGGTAAGATGAAATTTTTTATTTGTTTAAAATCTCACTTTCCATTTTTTAACAGTGCTGGCTGTTAACATGTGTTCTAGTCTAGTAAATTAAAGATTTTAAGAATTGCTTGTGTATGCATATAAAAATGTTTTATCATCTTTGTCTATATTTTTAGTTACACTTGGAAATTGCAACTTGAGTAGAAGGACCTTAGAATCCTAGAAGAAATAAAAGCAGAGCTAATGTCTGAAAACAGGCAGCATGTGTGTTTGTTTCTTTTACCTCTCTGTCCCTATACAACCTGGCCTGAAGGAAGACATGACCTGGGACTTTGAACTGAGTTACTCTTACCATTTTAGATTTCCATGAGATTCATCTTTAGAAAATGTCATTACACGTAGTTCAGTTCTAGCCATTCCCATTCAGAACTCTTTAGGACTGATAAAGGGATTGTATCAGCACCCTTATGAGTAAACAGACAACCGCCCTCCAAGGTTTGATGACCACCTTCTTTAGCTGTTATTGTCTGTGGTTCTTTTCCATCCTTGAGAACCAGTCCAGAAAACTTCAATTATATTTTTTTAAATGCTGACATAAAATTCAGAAAATAGATTTTTGCCATACTGTCTGAAACCTCAGTGTAAATCATTTAGCTCTTGCTCTGTTTTCCTCTCACGTTTGCCATAACAATCATGAGATAATAGATATGAAAGTAAGTTATACTTTTGTTTGCAGTTTGATTGGTGTCTCAATAAATTAAACAGCTTTTGAGGGGGCAGTGCTTACCGGGTTTGGCAATCTAGTCTGTTCCTCTCACGCGGAGTGTATTAACTTGATTTTTTTAACAATACTTTTGAGGAATTATTGTGTTGAAAATTATTTTTTATAAGTATTAAAAGCCAGGCGTGATGGCTCATGCCTGCGAGAGGATTGCCTGAGCCCAGGGATTTGAGACCAGCCTGCGCAACTTGGCAAGACCTCCTCTGCACAATAAATAAAAAAAAAATAGCCAGGCTTGGTGGTGCCTGCCTTTGATTCTAGTTACTTGGAAGGCTGAGGCAGAAGGATCACCTGAGCCCAGCAGGTTGAGACTGTGGTGGTCATGAGCATGCTCCTGCACTCCAGCCTGGGTCACAGAGTGAGACTCTGACTCAAAAAAAAAAAAAACTTAAAACAGGTGCTTTATTTGGTTTCTGTGAATTTGATTAAGCATTACCATTTGTAGCTTCTTTGGACTCTCTTTAGTGTCTATACTACTTTATCAAATAGTTCTGTATTATTTAATTTAATTTTATAAATTACCCCAGAACTTTGCTGCCTAAAGCAACTGACCTGTAGTATCTCACTGATTGTGTGGGTTGGGAATTCAGAGCAGTCAGCTCACTGTTTGGCTTCGGGTCTCTCATGAGGTTGCAGCTGAGATACTGGCAGGAGCTCCAGCCACATGAGGGTTTGGCTGAGCTGCTCATTCTTGTGGCCCCAACAGGGGCCTCAGCTCCTTGCCATGTGGGCGTCTCCATAGGGCTTGGTAAGTGTCTCCACATGCCAAACCCAGCTCCCTCGAGAGAGGCCCTGGATGTCACAACTCCTCTGAGGGACCTAGTCTTTTATTTATTTATTTATTTTTTTGAGTTGGAGTTTTACTCTGTTGCCCAGACTGGAGTACAGTGGCATGCTCCTGGCAACTGCAGCCTTGACCTGCGGTAATCCTTCCACCTCAGCCTTTCAAGTATCTGGAACTACAGGCACGTGCTACCACGCCCGGCTAATTTTTTGATTTATTGTAGAGATGAGGTCTTGCCAAGTTGCCTGGGCGGGTCTCGAACCCGTGGGCTCAGGTAGTCCACTCACCTCGGCCTCCCAAAGCGCTGGGATTTCAGGCTGAGCCACTGAGCCCGGCAGGACTTAGTCTTAGAGAGTGTGTACCATCTCTAAGTCTAGCCCTGACTCAAGGATTAATTTCTACCTTTTCAATAGTGCCAGAGGTTTCCTGAAATGTGTTTGTGTACACATTTCAGGAAGTAAATATTAGAGTGAACTTTAGATTTTGTTCCACTTACTGGGTCATCAAAAATATAGCTGTTAATGACTTTAAACAGATACTGTAACATTCTTGTAGTTGAAAGTGTCTAATTGCATTCCATCTCTGCAAAATCTTTTAAAATTATTTGTTATTATTGCTTTAGAAAGCAGCATTTATTGAAAGGACGGAAAAGTTCCCACGGTGGAAGGGGACCCATGGGGGTTGCCCATTATTATTATTATTATTATTATTTTTTTTTTTTAGTTGAGTCACACTCTGTCGCCCAGACTGGAGTGCAGTGGCTGCTCCCGGCCACCACAGCCTCGCCTGCTGGGCTCCGGCGATCCTTCCGCCTCAGCTTTCTGAGTAGCCGGAACTACAGGCATGCGCTACCACGCCCTGCTGATTTTTTGATTTATTGTAGATATGAGGTCTCGCTGCCCAGGCAGGTCTTGAACCCACGGGCTCAGTCAGTCCACTCACCTCAGCCTCCCAAAGGCGCGGGATTACAGGCTGAGCCACCGAGCCCAGCTCATTATTATTTTTTAATTTGGAGTCTCATTCTGTTGCCCAGGCTGGGGTGCAGTAGCACATTCATGGGTACCACAGCCTCGACCTGCTGGGCTCAGGCAATTTTTCTGCCTCAGCCTTCCAAGTAGTTGGGACTGCAGGCACACATCATCATGCCCAGCTAATTTTTTGATTTACTGTAGACACGAGGTCTCTAAATTGCCCAGGCTGATTTCAAACTCCTGGGCTCAGGCAGTCCTCTCACCTCTACTTTTCAAAGTGCTGGGATTACAGGTGTGAGCCATGCCCAACCTCCATCTCTGTAAATTCTTTAGCTAGTTCTTTCAAGTCAGAAAATTTCATTTCACTGGCATGAGTATGTTTAAGCATCCCTGGGTGTGAGAAATTCTGGTTTAAAGTTATCACCTCTCAGAAATTCCGAGTCATGTGTCCAGAGCCCTTTTTTAATGTTAGCCATCCAAGAGGAATCTCTCATATCACACACAATAAACTTTCCAAGTTGGACAGGGCTTTAAACATAATCAAGTTTTGCTACCCATTGACTTTCAGAATAATTCAGAAAAAATACAAGTTGTCTGTTGATGTTTTTATAATAAACTGCATCCTCTACCTTACATAGCAAACATTTTCTAGTATCACGATTCTCCTGTAACTTGATACACATTAACTATCTGAGATTCCATGACATGATGTCCTGTCCTGTGTTTAAACAGTAAATGGATCTCTAGGTTGTTTCCAGGTTTCCAGTCGCATGTGCAACATCTTAGTTCCTATTGTTGCTTGTAAACATTTGTGCACATCCAGGAATAATTCCTTAGGACAAATTAATAGAAGAGGAATTGCTGAGTCCAGCAGGGGGTGCATTTTTAGCAGCTGGCTATTATCTTTGAATGAGCCATTCAATACAATGTTGGTGTCAGTAGACCCTGTAAAAGTCAGAGTAATCGTATCCCTGCGGTATGTGAAAGACAGAATTGTTGGGCAGATGAAGTAACTCCAGTTTACAAGTTTACTGATAGGAACCAGTGAGAAGTCTTGCTGAGACGTCACACGTTTGATCAAAAACAGTTATATGTACTATGTGACTTTTAAAAAGCTCTTGAACTTGCTTACTACGTTAGATTATATTTATACATAATTGATGGTGGTTTCTACATAAAATGAATCAGGTTTTTTCTCTTTGTTATACTGTATACAGTATACAGATTTGTTATACTGGAGTGCGCAGACCTGATGGTCTTTATAGGTCTTTCCCTTTTTCTAGATTATAAACTCCTAAAGGCAGATATGGTTCATCAGTATCATTTGACCCTAAGAATCTAGCCTGGGACCTTGCACTTAGTATGCTTTGAAAAACTTACTGAATTAATGCTAATTATAATATAGATCAGTCTTTTTCCATATATTTAGAATTGTATGAACATACAATCAAAAATTATCATTGCCTGTAATGACAGTATTTGCCCTTTCTGGTGATTTAAATTTAATTTTGTGATTTATTTAAATATCTTTGTTTTATACAGTACTGGGGGTGTTAATCTCAATTAGAGGTAAAATTTATCGCCATACCACCTTGAATGTGCCTGATCTTATCCGAATAAAAGTTTAAATCCACTTTTTTCTTTCTGTTGTATACGTAACTTACAGTTAAATAATAACTCTGTATCCTTCCAGAGCCGCCTCAATAAATGGTTTAGAATTTGTTTATTAATTATATTTTGTCAGAGTACTTGTAAGATAGTTTTTTTCTCCTGAGTCAGTGAAACACTACCCTAATAATCTTTTATTCTAGTAACATAAATTCCTGAAGTAATGTAAAAGAAAATTTCAGCCTGGCATTTCTGTTCTGTAATTTCAAGTCAATGCAAATATATAAAGACTGGTTCTGTTTTTTTAAAAATGAAATCTGGCAAGAATATCTTTCTGTAATTCTGTATTCTGAGTTATTTTGTCAAAATATTATACATTATCCTAGAATAACAGATCTACTACTTTGCATGATTATTTAGCTATGTGATGTTATCTACCGGTGTGTCCATGCTTAGACTGGAACCATCTCTCGCTTGTCCTCCCAGTTCTGATTGTCCCCCCTCCCCAAGGGCTGACACTATGGCGGTCACGGTGCTCCTCCACGCTGCAGTCCTGTCCCATGTGGACGGAGAGTACTAATGATTTTTGTCATTATAACAACATTCTGGTTCCTTTTTTTTTTTTAGTGTTTTTTTTTTCTCTTCTTTTAGATACATTTGAAATGGTGTCTGAAGACGAAGATGGGAAATTGGGTTTTAAAATAAATTACCACTACATGTCTCAGGTGAAAAATGCAAACGATGCCAATAGTGCTGCCCGAGCGCGCCGCCTGGCCCAGGAAGCTGTGACGCTCTCAACCTCACTGCCTCTATCAGCATCCTCTAGCGTGTTTGTGCGCTGTGACGAGGAGCGACTTGATATCATGAAGGTAAGAAAAGAAACCCCTCTCCTATCTTTCTGACTTAACTGATTGCTCAGATATTCAGCAAAACACTAGAGATAGAGTGAATTGTAATAAACTTAATAACACTGTTGGTTATCATTTCAGACTGGAGTCCTTTTCTAATATAATCCAGAGTATATGAATCAGTCTGCTTTCAAAATAAAAATTAGGTGCCAGGCACATTAGCTTAATTCCTATAATCTTAACACCTTGGAAGGCCTAGACAGGAGGATCCTTTGAGCCCAGGAGTTGGAGACCACTGTGGGCAACATAGCAAGATTCTGTCTCTACAAAAAATAATTAGCTGGGTGTGGTGGCACACACCTGTAGTCCCTCTTACTCAGCAGGCTGGACAAGAAAATTGCTTGAATCCAGGAGTTCGAGGCTGCAGTGAGCTTTGACCACCACTGCACTGGTAATGGAGTGAGACCTTGTCTCATAAACAAACAAACAAATAGAAAATGTCAAAGACCCCTCTTTCCTTTTTTTTTTTTTTTTTTTTGAGTTGGAGTCTCACTCTGTCGCCCAGACTGGCACTCTGTCACCCAGACTGGATTGCAGTGGCCAATCCCGGCCACCGCAGCCTCGACCTGCTGGGCTCCGACGATCCTTCCGCTTCAGCCTTCCAAGTAGCTGGAACTATAGGCGCAGTATGAGCTACCACGCCTGGCTAATTTCTGATTTATTGTAGAGATGAGGTCTCGCCAAGTTGCCCAGGCAGTTCTGGTACCCGCGGGCTCAGGCAATCCACTTACCTCAGCTTCCCAAAGGCGCGGGATTACAGGCTGAGCCACCGAGCCTAGCTGAACCCTCTTTCTTAAGCAAAGACTGTCTGTGTGCAGCCTGTCACAATATCAAAGGATTTAATGCTGATCAGTACAAAAAATATATAGGATTTCTATTTTGTCATCCAAGATATTTCTTATGTGTTTTATTTTTATTTTTATGTTTATTTTTATTTTTGAGTTGGAGTTTCACTCTGTCACCCAGACTAGAGTGCAGTGGCCGCTCCCGGCCACCGCAGCCTTGACCTGCTGGGCTCTGGCGATCCTTCCGCCTCAGCCTTCCAAGTAGCTGGAACTATAGGCACGCACTACCACGCCCGGCTAATTTTTTGATTTATTGTAGAGATG